GAGGAAGCAATCCTTGGTGTTACACTTGTTTAATAATTGCATTTTCAAGCAAACATTGTGAAACCTCTTTCCTGTTTTCACAGGAAGTTACAATGATATGCCTAATAATAACCCTATGCTAATAACACTGTTTTGCATCACTGATACATAAATATAATACAGTAGCTATGTTGGGGGAGGGCTTCAGCTGTAGACATTCTCAGTCTCATTATCCTGGGAGGTGTCCACTACAAACATGTATTGTGCTGTTGGCTTATGAGCAGCTTGGCTGCAGTTTTATTTGCAGGCTGGTACACGAAAGGGTGTCTTTAACACGTAATGGTTACAGTTGGCTCAATGTTTTTTTTTGTTCGACAAGGAATTATCATATGAAGCTTGAATCCAATTGTCACAATAAATAAACCATGTTTCTATACTTTCACGGCACATTCCCTAACCCATACCTTATCCAAAGTGACAATCCTCTGGCCTAGAAAAACAATCAACACCACAGATTTCTAAACCTCGGCTGATGAGAATTCTCCCCTTGAATGAAGTAATCAACAGTGTAAATTCCTGGATAAAACCCACCCATCCTGCCCTCTCATTATGCTGCAGTTTCCACTGCTGATCAGCATTATTGATTAGAGCCATGGCCTACAGAATGTGTCACCCTTTTCTTGGAACAGGGTGGACAATCTTGAGCTGAAAGACTGCAAGCACACACACACACACACACACACACACACACACACACACACACACACACGTTTAGAGAGATCAGGAGGCACAGATCATGTTGAACATGACATCCAATCTACAGTCTCTGAGCACTCTGACCGCAAAGTGGGTTTGTGAGTGTGCATGTGTGTTTCGGAGCTTTTCAACTAATTGATAAGAAGACTTTGTAGCATTCTGATGAGAAGCTAATTAATACATTCCTGACAGAGGGAGATCAGGGTCTACACATCATACTTTGCATAATAACTTGATTTGGGTTCTGTACCCACCTTGTGGTGATATAATGCATTACATCTGATATACAATCAACTTCAGATGGGTAGATTTTAATCTATGATAGTTTTGATTCCTGACTAAATCATTGCTGTCATATTGAATTACTATATTGATATATCCTTTAAAAACATGATGACAACAGCAGCCTTACCTCAGCTTGTCTAATAATAATGGAGGGTCTGGGAATTTGAGGATATTTCAACTCCAGCTCCGGACTAAACTCTCCCTCCAGCTCATCATCCTCTGAGCTCTGGGAGAGGCTACGGCAGGCCGGAGGGGACTCAAAGTAAAGTTCTTCATCTGCGCCTTGCAGGTGGCAGATTGAGATTGAGTTTGAGTTGGTACCATTTACTGTGATGGTCCGGCTGGAGTGGTCTGAGATGCAGCTGACAGTCCTGTGAGGCTGTCTGTGCTGCTGCTCTTGTAGGCTGCATGGCAGGGCTTCTGGCTGGCACAGAACTGGGTCTGCTGCTGGAAGTCCGTTGTTATTTCTGCTTCGTCTAGAGTTATTTGGCTCCTGAGCAGGTGCTGGATCATTGTTAGCATCAGACGGATTACCAAAACAGTGACCTAGGGAGGAACAAGGTAGTCCATGCATGCTGGGGAATTCAGAAATCACCAAAACAGACAGTAAAATAAAACCTAAGTTCACTGACATCAGGTGGACCCGGTGCTTCCCAGTGTGTGGGGCAACATTAGATAGTTAGTCAGAAGTCGCTTCTTGTACATTATTAAATACTTGAGCAAGTTATGAAATAACCAATAAGGAATGTACATCCTTTCCTTTGAGGGGAAAAAAAGGCTAATCTTCAGGTCCACACTTTTGAAGCGACATATGAAATAAATATTTCTTTATCCAGGGAAATCCTTCTGTTCAATCCATGCCAACAAATATCCTCAGTGGTGTTTCAGCATGTCTTCTTTTCTTGTCATAGCAGCATTATCCAGCAGCGGCTATCCCACTGGATCATCCGTTTATCCCAGACTTAACCTTAAAAGTCCAGACTGTGGCAGCTTCTCTCGGTCAGTAGGTCAATCTGCCATCACATTATTCTTTCTTTCTCTCACAGAAAAGAGATTCCCAGCCTACAGGATGCTTCTCAATGGCTTCAGCCACTCTTTACAGCTCACTGTAACTCTCTTGATAGCCCTTCATAGTCCCATGTCTGCCTTCCTGATGTGTGTGTGTGATAGTCTGAGGGTTTGTGTGTGCGCGAGCAGCAGTATGTAAGTGCGTGGTGTCTCATTACTTGACCAGGTAGTCCCTCGTCTGTTGTGAGTTTGGAGGCAGGGGATGGGCAATAGGGACTCTGGTTACCATCTGATTCAGGGTCAGTTACACAAACATGCACTAAACATCCTTGCTATTAATTAATGAACTCATCTGATCACAGAGCAGTGGCCTAAAGTGTAAAGGTTACTGGGGTGTTACAGATGGTTGAATATAAGAGGTCAAGTTACAGGCAAACACCATAAGCGATAGGCCTCAGATGAGAAAGAGAAAGGAGGGGAGAGAGAGAGAGAGAAAGAGAGAGAGAGGCAGGGAGACAGAGAGAGAGAGCTGCCCTTGGGTGCTGGGTCCCGGCTTCTTAAATATTCATACAATCGCATAAAGCAAACTTTCATCAATAGTTGATCCAGGCTGGTCTGCAGGTAAAAACATGAAGCGTAGCATTATGACAAACATGCAAGTAATCTATGCAGTTTGTGATTGGTTTCAGGCATCTGGATTGGTTATCTAACCAGTACAACAACCACTGTTTGAATGCAGGCTCAACTTTTTAGGTAAAAATGTTTTGAAAACACAATTATATATGCCAATACAACTGAGAGTATGTGTGGTATTATCAGTTTCAAAGACAGATCCATCTTCGAAGCTTCATCAGGGGTTAGATATTCTACCATTAAACTTGCCCAGGATGACCAATATGAAGTTACACAGTAGGCCTTGGCCATATAGAATATAAGTGGGCAACACATTTTGGAAAAGACTTGCAACCTGCATTATAACTAAATAAAAGGGTAAAATCTATACTTATAATGAAATGTAATTACACATGCAATTGGTTTGAATTACAGGTGCAGTTTTGGTCCAACTGATAGTTCAAATAATGATGCTGCATTGTGACCATGGTCCAGATATGATTGAGATTTAAGCAAAGTACTATTGGCGCTGAAAATCAGTTTGTAAAAGGGAAAACTCATGTCAGGTCAGTTAAAATAGTGCCACCTGATTTTTGAAGAATCCTGCATGTTGACGTATCAACAAAAGAAAGACACATTGAATGTTTCTGCAAACCTGGCCGTCCCAGGATCAGCACCTTGGACAGCGGTTAGAAACCCCTCACTGTTTAATTATACATTATATTTATTTAAAAATAATTTAAACAATAAAGCTATCATGAAGTAAGTTTACTTTAGGGCTGTTGTATTTGACATCTTGACCTGGAACTTTGTAGTAATATGCCCTACATGTTTGTGTTCAAAGTGCAGATTCTAATCTATATTCAGTATTATGTCTTGTTTAGGTTTAGGCAACACATTGACTTGGTTAAGTATGGGCAATAAATCACCTACAAGCAGCAAAACGATTTGGTCACGTTTAGGGAACAAAGGAAAGGCGAAAGACATCGATCTGGAACGGGTGTCTTACAGGGAAGACACATTTGAAGAATGTCCCCCTTACAAATTGAAACAGGGTGCAATGATGAAACATGCATGAGCTCTATTGTCTGAGGACGTAAACAGAGATATAGTGTCAGCAACCATTTAGGAACTTAGAAGGGATATAGTAGCAAGTGTTTTTCATAAAAAGCATGTGATAACTTTCAAAAATGTTTTGAATACATTTTTGCAACCGTTTACATTTGATGGATAGAATACTTTGAGGGAATTTGCAGTGTGGAAAAGGGTAGAACATTGTTGAGAGAGAAAGCTGGATAATATTTTCCATTTGTGACAGACAGCACCATTAACGAATCAAAGATCAGCTACTTATCGTATACCAGTGAATCTTAAAGACAGACATATTTCCGTCCTGAACAGGATCTAATAACATTTCTTTAAAGAAAGAAAGTGATTCCTTAGCTGTATCCCACCAAAAAACAGGGTGTTTGATTAGCTCCTTTTTTACAGGAAATCTGGGTAGAAAAATAAATAGTAATACCAAGTTTTAGACCCATGCTGTTTTCACCCTCACCTGATTTAAACAAAAATGTCTCTTCTTAGGCAAAGTTTCTAGTTTTCCCACATCACCCGGTCCAGGACTTTGTATCTATCTGGGCCTAGATTATAGGCAGATAAAAAAGAAACAGTCTATTTACATCTTGAAGTAATGATGAAGGGTTAAAGAGCTCTGCTTCCTTCTGGTGGTCAGTGATATGGACTGCAGTAATTCGGGTTTTAGAACAATATACTGCATCCCAACCAGAGCTGTTTTCAAGATAAGGACAAATGCAGCTCACCCCTTTTAAAACATCTTCCATAATAACCTTATAGCCTATAGACATTAACCTAGAGCTAAAAAAAAAAGACATCGAAAAGAGACTGTTCGCTGATCTTTTTATAATATTTCCCATAACCCAGATTCATCTTATTGTGGCTACCAATTCTATTGAGCATCACTTCTTTATTTGTATGTCCCATATACAAGACACAATATGAATTCCCCCCCCAAGCTACGTCATTGTAGCGTCATAGCCGGTGGTTGTCGCACACACATACAGCTTCATCAAGTGAGCATTTGTAGCCAGAAATGTACCAGACATAGGCCTATTACAATTTTGCCTTCAAAATAAAGTGACAATATGGTTCATGTGAAGGGAAAACTGAGTCAACACACACTTAGTGCATACAGATACAAATATATAAAATGTATCGAAAAGAAACCAAGCATGACAAAATGAACAAGTGAGCAAGTATTCCCCAAAACATGCGTCACGACTGTTACTTTGAAAACATCAACCGGAAGTAGAGTTGTATTCTGCCCAGCTTCATGTGGTGAGGCAGCCCTGGAGCGCACAGTCTGAGGATAATCGTAGGTGGTAATGGTTAGAATCTGCCGACTAGAAGCTAGAGAAGCAGGTGTTGACTAGTATTTTACCCAGCGATTTAATCTGGCTCAGGTTTCTGCTATAGTCATCTGTCCTGGATCGACGCTGCTTTGTTTTTCTCCCCCTCGATGATCCAGAATGCGTTCCTCGGCTTGGTTTGTCGCCAAATGCGCTCTCATCATCTGCACGCTCCGGTTGATTGACGGGGCCAAAGGACAGCGGCAGTGTAGTGAGGTGAGAGATGCTCCGATCGATCAATAAGGCTTACATCCGGTTTCACTGCTTATTGTTAAATCTAGACATTACAAAAACGCACAGATCAGGCTGCTTTGGTTGAACACTGACAGTGAGTTGGTAATCCAGTAACCACATCAAATACGATTAGAAATTGATGACACGTTTCCGGGAAGATTTATGGTATGATGTTTTTAAAATCATCATTGTACAGCAGGTTGGAAGACAAATGCACCTTAGTCATTGGTCTCTTTGTAAATACAGTAAGTCCGTACAACATAGTGAGCATGAATCTCATGAGGTCTGGTGTATGTTGAACTTCACTACTCAGTCCTGTTCAGCCTGTTATCAGTTTCCTGCATGGGGTGGCCTTTCCTTCCCTCTGGTCTGGCTCAGCTCAACACCTCCTTAGTCACACAGCCAACAGTCCCCAGATAGAGGAGCAACATTCCTTTAAATTATTATCTCATTCTCTCTTTTCACACTGATTTAGAGATTTCTGCAGCTCTCCAGTGAAGGGCTACCTGGTGCTAAAAGTTATTGGATGACACTGTCAGCCTATATCTTGGTATAAAGCTCATGAAATGTGGTGTTAGAGGAAATCTTGAAAGTCTGCCATATCAGTGATTGACCACAGCTCTCGTATGAATAACAGGAGATAATACTGCAACAGAGATGAGCATATATCGTTTTTAGAATATGTTCTTGTGTCTCTAATCGCTAAGTTATCAAAATGTTGAGTTTTGTTGACAACTCTGCTCGATTTGGCCTCTTTCTCTTCATCATCAGTGTGACTGAGCTCTTTCTCCAGACCCACAGACACCAGTGAACATATTTTCACACACAACAGCCTGCATGTGCTTCAGTGTCAACATCTGGTTTGTCTCAAGATGCAACATTATGTAAACTGTAGGAAATTAGGCCACCGTCCCCTGTGGACGACACATCCCATGTTGAGGCCAGAACATCAAGCTAATGGTTTTTACTCTTGACCACAGATTAAACATTTTATTATCAAATGTCTTAAGTGTGCTTCCTTAAAATGTGAAAAGCTGTTGATAAATCTCCTCCACCAGCTGCCATCCCCACTGCTCCCATCACCAAGGAGATGGTATGTTGTGTATCCAGGACAGAAGAGTTGTGGCTTGAGAGATACCACATAGCGGGCAGTCATGTTTTAAAAGCTTTGAGCAGCTGGATACGGACGTTCATTTCTAATGCAACAACACCAGCTAGTTATTCAGCACTGATGCATTCTCACCCAGAGTGAGATGACTCAGGGCTCTGGTGGGTGGAGGCCTCATGCGGTGTGATGTTTACTGACCTGACTGGCCTACATTTGCCTATTGTTTGGTTCCTAGACTGTTGTGGCGACTGATTTCTTATGCAGGCGTTTTGTGTATGATTGGCAGAATGATTACTACTATGAGTACACAGAGTGTGACAGCACAGGATCTCGCTGGAGAGTGGCCATCCCTCAGAGCCCCGGGGCCTGCACAGGACTACCAGAGCCTGTACGCGGCACAGAGTGCAGTAAGTATTTGTTTGGTTTGTGTGTGTGGTACTAAAAGTTGATGTGTGCATCTTAGCTTCTTATCAGTAGCCTGGTATTTCTGTCACTACATCATGACTGACCCTGTTATCCCACAACAAAGCGCAGAGAAAAGACATAGGCCAACGGACTGCACTTTTTCCAGTCTTTGCGAACTCTCACACACATTCATTCACATTCATACAGAGACACAGGCTGCCATACGATGCCAAAAGTAACATTCACACACCGCTGGCCATGCAATTGGGAGCAATTTCGGGTTAATTATCTTGCCCTAGAACACATCGACATTTTGATTGCAGGGGCTGTGGATCGAACCACCTACCTTCCGGTAAACTCTGTCACATAACTGCCTTTCACACAATTGGTAATGAGCCATGGTGTCACACACAATCATATTATGCGTCTAATATAAGACACAGAAACTTATGACAGATGTTGGTGTTCCTTCAACACCATTGCATGGGCATAGTTGTTCAGAGGCCCATGTAATTATTAGAGTATTTGTCGTAGCTAATTTGTTTGCCATGGAAACAGATAACCAAGTAAAACGTGAGTCACAGGGAGTGTGTCTTTGTTGAGAGAGGGGTGCTAACAGACATTTTAATAGTGGGGAAAGGTGCCATATGATAGATCAAGGAAGGCAGGAAGTTGTGTTAAAGCACACTAATGATCATTGATCAACAAGGTGGTCATACAAGTGTGTTCTTTGTCAGATCTCCCTCAAACAGGTTTTCCCTGCGATGTCATACCACCAGTTCACTTATGGCTAGGTTCAGATAATAATAATAAGGGAATTCTGTGTGTACGATGTTAAGATAAGTCACTCACAGTATGTCAATGGTCACAGACCTGCTGCACCACCACACCCCTTCCCGCTGCCTCCGCTCATCAGAAGCCAACCTCCTATCCATCCCCACCCACATCAATCACCGGACCTGGGGGGGACAGAGCCTTCTCCGTCGCTGCCCCCCTCCCTCTGGAACTCACTCCCACAACCCATCAGAGACTGCACTGACCTCACCACCTTCAAAAGACTTACAAAAACTCACCTCTTCAATCTGGCTTTTAATGTGTGATTGTTTTTGTATTATTTGACTTTAACTTTAATAATATATGTATTTGTTGTTCCTTTCTTTTCTTTTCTCTTCACTATATCTGTAAAGCATCTTTGAGCACCTGTAAAAGCGCTAACAAATTAAATCTATTATTATTATTATTATAATGGACAGTTCATGTTTTTTTTACATGGATATATTGCATGTCTAACTGTATGAAATGTACACTATTCTCATGATAACAATGGATCATTGTCCTGACTTGGTTCATTCCACATGCATGAAGCCATTGTCATCTTCATGTGGCATATCTTTGTAAAGGTAAAACTCTTAACACCTTTTGTTATTTTGACATGTTTCCTTGTGCCTTTTTCCTGTTTAGATTTCACTGTAATAACCCCAGACACTCGTTTCCTTGTAGTCATTTGAAAAACTATCCTGCACAGGATATTGTGATTGCCCCATATTACATTGCACGGTGCACAGCTAATGTCCCCAATTAATTAATCTATCTATAAATCAAATCACACCAGAAGCACTACCTGCTGCACTCATTAAAACAAACTACTTACCCTCACAGTGTGCTAAACAAATTCTCTAACCGCACACATGTTGCATTGGTTTATTTGAAGCATAAAGAAGCCTCACATTGGCACTCCACCAGCTCAGGTATGAGGAACAACTCAGGGTGAAAACAGGCTTGATGACTCAACAGGGAAAAGTTAAAGGTCAAGTATGGTTTATGTCCCCTTATCACAGGGGCTACATTGTACTGAATGCTGCAGTGATTTGCAAGATAATGCTTTTATCATGTTGAGTTTCTTTGTTAGTCTAAATGGTCTGTTTATTGCATAATGCAAAGATGGTTGGAAAAAACACTTGTTTCCATCTCTCTCTGTGTCCTCCAGCCTTCTCATGCAAGGCTGGGGAGTTTCTTGAGATGTTGTCTCAGGAGTGTACGCAGTGTGCAGCAGGAAGCTACTCCCTCGGCAGCGGCATCCGCTTCGACCAATGGGATGCCATGCCTGCTGGTTTCAGTAGCCTGGCAACCTCACTGGAAAACAGTCCCCCCGGAGATGAGAAGCTCACCTGCAACAGGTGTGTGATTAGGACACAAGAAAAACTGAATATCTAATTGTATTTGTATAGTAAATTATTCACCTTTTTTGCCTTGCAGTTCTTCATGGGTGCCTCAAGGAAACTACCTGGAGTCCAACAGGGATGAATGCACAGTCTCTCTCATCTATGCTGTTCATCTGAAGAAACAGGGCTCTATCAGCTTTGATTACCAGTATCCAGACAGCAACCTGCTGTTTGAGTTCTTTGTGAGTTTTAAAGATTTTAATTATCTTTTTGCTTCTGGAAAATTATAACTGTGAAGTCTGTGTGTTTTTTTTGGTATACTTGCCAGTCATATTCTCTCCCTGTATGCCCTGTAGAGTAGTACAATTTCTTATTTTTTAAGTCACTCATCATGATTGCCCTAGAGATGTAATGGGCACAGTTATAATTTTAATGGGAAAAATGATTTATATTGGTAAAATATAGCCTAGATTGTCATCACTCTAATTTGAGCTATCAATCAGACAACATACAGTATTATATGAGACCTACATCTCTGTTCTCAGCAATGTGTTAATATGCCTTTTCTTGGCGGGATAAGTCATAGCAGTAACAACAAACACATTTTGGTTATCTGTATTGAACTGAGGAGTTTTATTTATTTTGCACATTTTATTGTTCAATAAAAATGCTTCCACAACAACACTCAATCCTGCCAGGAGACAAAAAGTCACGTCAGTACTTCCCTATGTTGTAATGAGTGCATGAATCTCCATAATGAATATTGTAGTTGAGAGGATCAGCTGATGGACACTGATGATTTGTGTGTGTTTAGATCCAGAATGACCAGTGTCAGGAGATGGATCAGTCTGCTGATACCAAGTGGCTCAAACTCACCAATCATGGTGACTGGGAGAACCATACAGTAAGTTTTGCATGCTGTAACATTAACAGCAGCCACGGAGGAAACTGTTCTGACCTTGGCCTCCTAAATGAAATGTGTTGAACTCAGTGAGTAAAGGGTGGATACAAGCAGGAAGCCTATTAGTAAACAGAAACAGGCTTCGCTCCAGTATTTTTCCAGGCACACTGTGAAATGAGTTGTTATTATAATTCAGTTCTGGCACTGTGGAGAAACCAGTTCTCATTCATAACACTCCGTTCGATGTCTCACTATGGGATGCGCCTCATCGCGGAGCAAACAGAAGCATCAATCTCATTATGCCAATCCTGATTGGTAATTGATCTTGACGTCAGCGTCAGGGAATTCACCCCCTATAAGTAGCTTGCACCACGACGCATGCGTCATTCAAACACCTCTTCTCGCTTCAGAGCACATCTCTATAGTAGCCGGACAAGCTTAACAGTCCACAGACTGAACCCAAATAACCATTTCGGTCGACGGGCGCTCGCCGGCTACTCCTTCTGCTTCGCAGGAAGACGGTAATACTAACGCTAGTTAGTATTGAAATCGACCTCGCCGTTCTCTTTCCCCGGAAAGTAAGGTAGGTCTGATTTTTTTCAAGCTAGCGTTAGCTCGCTCCCTCACTATCGACACGGTAGCGAGGAAGCTCTTTCTTTTCTCTTCCCCATGGAGGAGGAAAGGATTAAAGGAGCATACTGTCACACCAGTCAGTATTCTCCGGGAATAAAAGACCCACACCGTCCTTTTCTCCGGATTAAGGACAGGGTGGTAACACCTTTTTTTCTCCCAACCTACCTGTTGAGAGCGGGTCCTCTCCACGCCACAAGGCGAACAAGATGGACGCCTCTCTCCCTCACACCAGAGGAGTCAGGGACTCGGTGGCTCGACTCTGTGGCTGCGGGTTGAAGATCTCGGGCACAGACACACACCAGGTCTGCTCGGGCTGGAACACGGCTCGTGCGGACATTGTGTCCGCTTCACTGTGAAGAGCCTCCGCCGACGGCTAGCACGCCAAGCTAGCCTATCGGAGCAGGACCCCCCCATGTCCACTGACCTGCCGGCCGGCAGTCAAGACGCGGGGGCGTCCGCCGCAGAGAGTGAACCCCTCTCCGTGTCGGTCTGGGGCTCATTATCTGCGATGGCTGCAGAACCGGAATCCCGCGCCCTGGCAGTCCGGGACCCGGTGACGGCAAGACACGCAGGAACGGGACCCCACGCTTTACCGAGCTGGGGCTCCCGGTTAGACCTCACCATGGTCTCACCCGCGGAGGATGTCCTCGAGCTGGACTACGATGAGGACGAAGAGGACGCCTCGGTGTTCCTCCTGTCCGAGTCGGATGAACATGAAGAGGACATCTTCATGTCATCGGCTCAGGCTGCAAAGCCTGGAGCGAGGGCTGCTCTCCCGGGCGATAGCACACCAGCTTCGCCCTGTCTGAGCATGGACCTGCAGGCCGTGTGTAAACGCGCCGCGGCCAGACTCAACATCCCGTGGCCTGAAATGGCCAAGGAGACCTCCGGGTCCCGCTACGAAGGGAAACATTTTCCCCAAGCAGCGCGGACAAAGAGGCAACTCCTTCCGGTCTTCCCGGAGATGTTGGATGAGGTGTCGGTTTCGTGGAGAGACCGGCCCTTCAGCAACAAGGTCCCAATCCAGGGTGCCTCCTCCCTAGACTGTGACAGAATGGAGAAGCTCGGCCTGCTCCGCATACCGCCCATGGAACCACTGGTAGCGGCCCACCTCCTACCGAGGATGGGCCCGTCACCAAGCAGGAACCCCACGCTGCCGGCAAAGTCGGACCGATTTCAGTTGACAATGACTGAACGGTCCTACAAAGCCGCAGCGTTGTCCGCCAGGGCCCTGAATGTGTCCTCGCTGCTAACCGCTTACCAAGCGGAGCTCTGCGAGGACCTGTCGGGTAACCCGGGGGCAGCCACTCTGGACGAGATGGCAGCGGTCACGGACATTTGTCTTCGTGTCCAACGCTGCGCCGTCCAGGCCACGGGCAAGGCAATGGGGTTCATGGTGGTGCAGGAAAGAGCGAGATGGCTCAACCTCACCAACCTCCCAGACTGGGAAAAGGAGGATGTGCTGGATATGCCCATCGTTCCCGAGGGAATTTTCGGCTCCGCTCTTGCTTCCATGCAAAGGAGGTGTGAGTCGAAAAAGAAGGAGGACGAGGCACTCCACCTCTGCCTCCCTCGAAGGGTCCAGCCGCTGCCTTCGCAGCAGCAGTCCTTCGCCCAAGCTGCCTCGAACCCTGCTCGGTTTAAAACACCGAAAACGCAGAGGTCACAGCCCGCCCCAAGTCCCCAGCCCAGGCTGGAGACGAGGGCGAGCTGGCCTAGAAAATCTCCGGTTCCGGCTGCAGCTCAGGCGCAGCCAACCCAGAATTTCGGCCAGCAGTCGAGGAAGAAGAAGCGAGCGGCGTGACAGCCCCTCCTTCTCCCCTCCGTGACAGAGCTGGAAGTCCACGGTTCCCCAGCTCTAAATGTGTTCCCGACGCCTCGAGAGATGCCTCAACACCATCCTCAAGTCCGCACAAACACATGTCACACATTTGTTGATTTTTCTGTCATAAAACATTTGCCGCTGACGCATCCAGGTTTCAGGCCGAGGGCGCAGCTCAAAAAAATGATAAGAAAAACAATAAAACCAATAAACAGCCCGTCAACTGTTCCCCTTCTGAGAGCAGCTACGGCATCTCTCAAAAGGCGGATTACAGGCGGGTCTGTGAAGGCACCACCGTCACGCGCATGCGCAGTGCCGGCTGGGGCTTTAAAGGCACCACCGTCATGCGCATGCGCAGTGCCGGCTGGGGTTGTGAAGGCACCACCGTCACGCGCATGCGCAGTGCCGGCTGGGGTTGTGAAGGCACCACCGTCATGCGCATGCGCAGTGTCGGTGGGGATTGTCGAAAAGGGGCACCACTGTGTTCAGACACTAGAGGGCCCCATAACGCAACAAATAGAGACTCAGAGGGGAAGAGACGTGACATCTCCACTGGCTCTAAGGAGCATATAGTGGAAGATGCTCACATCATCTGCTTGGGTTTTCAAGACAGTAACACGGGGCTACAGACTCCAATTCGCTGTCACCCCCCCTCGCTTCTCGGGCATTCTGCATTCACAGGCCCGAGGAGAGTTGGCCCATATTCTGGAGATTCTCTCTCTCCTAGAAAAGAGGGCTATATCTATTGTACCCGCCAAGCAGAGTCAGGGCGGCTTCTATTCCAAGTACTTCCTCGTTCCCAAACAGGGAGGGAACGGAATTCGGCCAATACTTGATTTGAGGGCTCTGAACAAATATCTAAAAAGATATAAGTTCAGAATGCTCACTCACACATCTCTGCTGCGGCTCGTGCGACAAGACGACTGGTTTACATCAGTCGACCTGAAAGATGCGTATTTTCACATCCCAGTATATTACCCACACAGGAAATATCTGAGATTCGCATTTCAGGGGATCTGTTATGAATACAGAGTACTCCCCTTCGGTCTGTCTCTCAGTCCAAGGGTGTTTGTACGATGTACGGAAGCCGCGATAGCCCCGTTAAGACAACAGGGTATTCGCCTGGCGACCTACCTGGACGACTGGCTGCTTCTCGCACAGTCGGAGCAGGAGGCTGTTACGCAGACAAATGTCCTCGTAAAGCACCTGCTCAACCTGGGTTTCATAATAAACACAGAGAAGAGCATGTTGTGCCCCGCGCAGACTATACTCTTCCTGGGTTTACGCCTGAACTCGGTGCCCTTTTCAGCTCGCTTGTCAGCGGAAAGAGTGAAAGCTTTCAGAGCTTGTCTCGCTCTTTTCCAGCTGCGCAAACATGTTCTCTTCAGATCATGCCTGCGATTGCTGGGGCTCATGGCGTCAGTCATCCTGGTCGTACGACTGGGACGCTTACACATGAGGGAGTTTCAGCGCTGGGTGGCCGCCCTAAAACTAAACCCCGCGCGCCAGAGTGATGGTTACTGTGAAATGCGTAATGGCACTGCGCCACTGGCTGCACCCGACTTTTCTAGTACGAGGTGTGCCTATGGGTGCTGTCCTTTCACGGAAAGTGGTCACCACGGACGCATGTCTGACAGGTTGGGGAGGTATTTATGAAGGTCGCCCTGTGAGGGGTCTCTGGAGCAGAGACCTCCAGCGGGCGCACATAAATTACCTGGAGCTTTTAGCGGTGTTTCTCACCCTAAAACGCTTTCTGCCTTTCCTCAGGGGACATCACGTCCTCGTGAGGACAGACAATACGACCACAATATCGTATATTAACCGCCAAGGGGGTTTGCGTTCTCTCCAGTTACACACACTGGCGCACAAACTGATCCTATGGAGCGGTAGACGTCTCCTCTCTCTGAGAGCGACGCACGTACCGGGAGTGATGAACCTCGGGGCAGATCTACTGTCCAGAGGTATACCACTTTATGCAGACTGGACTCTACATCCAAGGATTGTGAGCCAGCTGTGGGTGCGTTACGGCAGAGCCGCGGTGGATCTGTTCGCATCGAAAGACAACGCTCAGTGTCAGCTGTTCTTTTCGATGCGCGATCTAAATGCACCGTTAGGCGTGGATGCACTCGCGCACAATTGGCCCCCGGGCCTTCTGTACGCGTTCCCACCCCTGGCTCTGATACCCCCAACTCTGGCCAGAGTGAGAGAGCAACGCCACACACTTATCCTGATAGCTCCGCACTGGCCAGCTATGTACTGGCTAGCGGAGATATATCAGCTGCTGTGCGGGCAGCCATGGCAGCTCCCACTACGCAGGGACATACTGTCCCAAGCGGGGGGGGGCGATCTTTCACCCACACCCAGAGCGCTATGGCTCTATGGGCCTGGCCCGTGAGTGGTACAATCTGAATACAGTGTGACATGAAGCTGACCCTGGCAGCTGCCAAGCGAGCCAGTGGCACTCATGCGCTATCTGTACAGTCTTCATGCACTCAGTTTGCCCCAGGGCAAACAGAGTGTGGTTGAAGCCCAACCCTGCCTTTGTCTTAAGGCGGTTGGTTCAGGTACCACATTTGACATTGAGGCATCCTCCCCGCCACTGTATTCCTCCGGGGAACAGCGGCCGGATTTGCCGTGTCCAGCCCGTGCTTTACGCACGTACAGGGACAGATCAAGGGTGCTTTGTCATAATGACCAACCCCTTGTCTCCTGGGCTAACCCTTATAAGGGCAAGCCTGTTACTAAGCAACGGCTCTCCCACTGGTTTGTGGAAGCAATTGCTTTGGGGCTCATACGAGTCAGAGTTCGCAGGCACCCTCGGGTCCGCGAGCTCTTTCGACTCAGGGTCTGGCTGCATCCTGGACTCTGTCCGGCTGGTTGGTTTGGTGATTTTCGAGATAAGCTCGTCTGACAATACGGGAGCTACAATTTCCCATAGTGAGACATCGAACGGAGTGTTATGAATGAGAACTATAGGTTACTTACGTAACCCCAGTTCTCAGAGTAACATGAAGTGAGATGTCTCACCAGACGGCCCTCCTTGCTATGGTGAAGCGAGAAGAGGTGCTTATTTTGAATGACGCATGCGTCGTGGCACAAGCTACTTATAGGGGGTGAATTCCCTGACGCTGAAGTCAAGATCACGAGCCAATCAGGATTGGCGTAATGAGATTGATGCTTCTGTTTGCTCCGCGATGAGGCGCATCCCATAGTGAGACATCTCACTTCATGTTACTCTGAGAACTGGGGTTACGTAAGTAACCTATAGTTATGTTGAGTGCGGATATTTAAGTGGAATAATTGTATGTGTAGATTAACCTGGTGTACTTTTTAGTTGATGGCTCCAAGGAAATGTTTCTACAAGATGATTAATTAAAGGAGCTTAAGAAATTAAGTCTGCATAATGTAGCATTTGTTATGGCAGCATATATTTGTGTCACTTTAATTGACATGCTTTATACAACAATCAAATCACAAGGTTATCTTTTCATCTTTGATTGAACCAATGCTGCTGACTGAATTAATCGTTTAAAAATTACTTTAGAATATCTTAATTCAGTGAAAGAACCTTATTTTCCTATGCATTACAGCTCTTTGCATACATTTTCTTGTATATATTTATCTTTTTAATCTATTTAATATTTAATCTATTTAATATTTAATCTATTTATTTATATTTATATTTATCTGTTTTCAGATTTTAATCACAGAATAATCGTCATGCAGCTTTATTTCCATTTACATGAAATGACCATATGCAGTGAGAGCTCAGCTCATTTTAGATGGCACATCTCATTAATTGTAACCGCTAAAAGCAAAGCCAGACTTATAGGCTCTCTTAACAACTGTACTGGCTTTGTCCATGTTTGATGAATAATCTATATAATCATGTGTATTCTAGGTAAGCCTGAAATCTGGCACCAACATCCTTTACTGGAGGACAGGTGGGGTTCTGATGAGGAGCAAAGGGGCAAAGCCTGTTTTGCTGAAAAATATTCAGATCGAAGGTCAGTAGCAGATTTCCATCCCTCCCCCCGACTTCTTGCTGCAACCAATAATGAATCAATACACATATTAAATATTGATCTTTCTTTTTTATTTTCGATCCACCATTTCCTTTTTACCAGGAGTTGCCTACACATCCGAGTGTTTCCCATGTATCCCGGGGACGTTCAGCCGAGTCCCGGGCTCCACCACATGTGATCCCTGTCCTCGAAACACCTACTCTGGCCACGGTGCCAGCTCCTGCACCCCCTGTAACACTACCACTCAATATGCAGGTAGGAAGGCCCTCCAATACACAGAGAAGATGTGCAGTATTTCACATTTACCCTAATGGTGAACCTCTGAAACATCAAAATCAAACTGTGTTCTTTGTAGCCTAATTGTTGTCAGTGCTGCTCACAGCTGCATTCATCACAGCTGAAGGAGGGAGAGAGAGTGTGTCCTATTTTCAGCCACTTTAACTTCAAAAATACGCATATTAGTTTTGTGTGGAGGACTTGTGTGATTGCAAGGGAGTAGCACATTTTAGCGGATTGGGTAGCAAGTGTGTGCTCCATTTTGTTCATAGAGCTCCTAATGCACTGACATTTACCACATTTTGTTTTCAAAAAAGCTTTTTCTGATGATACAAGTGATTTGCTCCCAGATCTATTTTAGTATGTTTCTCTACAGGGTTTTTCTAGAAGACATTTATATATGTAAGGCAGTCACTGTACTAGACTCTGTCTAAGAGCTATTCAAAGTCAACATAAGGTAGTGAATAACTTATTATAACTTATTAGTTATCGCCCATTTGTTGATATTTTAACATGATTTTATCCTCCTTAATTTTCCTTGATATAAAATATCAATACATTTTCAGTTTAAAATTCCTCATATGATGCAAGGCATGTCCTGTTTTGTTAAGACACTGAGGAGTGACTGTAAAGGAGTCTAGAGTATTCAGAACGTTTTACATATTTAATTCAGAACACCTCTTAAATGCATATTGTATGATTCCTTTGCTTCACTCCTGTGTTAGCAACAGAGTCTCTCGCCAAAACACTCGTAACCAAACGCACATTAATCTTTCTATTCCTATTCCTCCCTATGATATTGTTTTTTTTCTGTCAATTCTGGATTTCGTTTATTTGCCAATGTAGTTTAAATTCGCCTTATCCCTGTCCTTCTTTTTCAAGCTGAAGGATCTGCTCTGTGTAAAGACAAACCTCCATGTTCCAGGAAAGACTATTTCCAATTCCACACAGCATGTGATCACGAAGGCAAGGTAAGAGAAAAGAGGCCAGCTCCACATTAAATACCGCGAGAAGTGCCATTGTGTAATCACAGTTTCTGTTCTACTTCATCACCCTCCACCTCTGTGTGATTTCAGACACAGATCATATATAAGTGGATTGAACCTCAAATCTGTCTGGAGGGTGTGACTGGAGCTGAGTCTTTGCCTCCAAGTGGAAAAAGGGAGCCCTGCCCCCCCTGTAACCCCGGCTTTTATAACAACGACACGGCCACCTGCTCACCATGCCCACCTGGGACCTATTCCGATGGGATGAAACGTACGGAGAACTCTTGATCTATATTTGAATCCTCCCTTCTATTATCCTTTTACTCTTGTTTTCCTAATTGTGTTTTTTATTGTGTTTATCCCTCAGCATGTACGCTGTGTCCAGCCGGCACTGAGCCCACCTTGGGTTATGAGTATAAATGGTGGAATGTACTTCCTCCAAACATGAAGACCTCCTGTTTCAATGTGGGCAACTCCAAATGTGACAATATGAATGGTGGGTATTTTTGCGTGATACTTCCTGTTATGTTTTCTCTCTTAAGCTTACGCACCCTGTGTTTCCCTCTTTAAAAGGAACATGTCAATAATATTGGATATATTCATTTTCTTGTAGTAATCTATAAAGATTAATACCACAATCCCTATGTGATAAATATAAAGCTGACGCAAAGAAATGGTTGGCTTAGCTTAGCAAAAAGTCTGTAAGTAGGATGAAAAGGTCTCCCTGCATCCTTTTAAATGTAATCTAGTCTGCCTACAAGCACCTTTCAACTCACTTTAACACATTATATCTTTGACAAGTTCTTGGATGGGGACAGTAACTTCCTGGAGTCTTTACTGGCAACCTCACAATGACAACAACATTCCAGAAATAGTCCATCACATAGCCTCAAGCAAAACAACATCACCTTGTTTTCACACTTTCAGCTGCAGACTTGTATTTGTGTTCCCCAGTTTCCAGTCTTTATTCTTTGTTTTGACCAAAACAACTTGAGTGGCGTTGATCCTAATCAGATTCTCTGCAGGAAAGCAAATTGTTTTATGCATTGTTGAACCAATCCTTTATTGGGGGTGCTCTAAAACGATATAGTAAATGGTTGATTAGTGTGGATTTGTTCTGTCTTTTAGGCTGGGAGGTGGCAGGTGATCACATCCAGAGTGGAGCAGGAAGCTCAGATAATGATTACCTCATCCTCAACATCCATATTCCTGGCTTTAAGTAAGTACCTTAACGTTTTTCAGTCTCTGTCAATCTCCTCCCTCAGCTGTCTGTTTCTTTTCGCTTTGACTTAATTCCCCTCTTCTCTGTTTGCCTCTGCCCCCAGGCTCCCTACTTCCATGTCAAACCATGCTGGGACAGAGTTTGGTCGCATCACATTTGAATTTGAAACTGTGTGTGTAGCTAACTGCGAGCTCTACTTCATGATGGTGAGGAAAGCTCCTGCTAAATGTTTTGTGCTAGATACACATTGCTATAAAAGTGATGTGAATTCAATGGATGTGTTTCAATTTAGGATGTAAACAGGAAGAGTACTACTGTTGTGGAATCATGGGAGAGAACCAAAACAAGAATTACGTACACACACGTCATGACAAAGAATGCCTCTGTTTCCTACACATGGGCTTTCCAGAGAACCAACCAACCCTCAGATGTAAGTATGAGTTATCTATTATTTACATTACCACTTATCACACGTTCCCCCTAAAATCCTTTCTTAAATATGATGATCCAGCAAGTTCAAATCATATGTAATTGCATTCTTCCACTTAGGGATGTCCTAAAAAAAAATATTCTCAGTTTACTAACACTATGATTTTGACCACTAATCAATTAAGCTGATTTAATCGTCAGATCGGTAAAACTCAATAGTTTCTCAATAAAGAGTCATGCAAAAGAATGTTCTTATCTTTTTGAAACAAGTAATTCAAATGAAAAAAAACAGAAAATATTTAATCGATTTAATAATGGTCAGCCGACTGTGCTCAGGCCACTGACCAGGATTTAGCCACTTGGTCCTTCAAAAAATAAGGAAACCTGACCTTATGGTTCAACCTACATATTAACTGCTTAAGCCCAGAAACAAGAAATCTTCCCAAAAGTCTTGTAGTTCTGTAAATCCAGTCAACGCTTAGTACACCTAACACTCCCTTCTGTTGGTTGTTAAAGATAATATCTGACATGGTGTTAGTGTTTAAACCAAAGCACTACTTTATCTCTGTACTCACTAGGGGGAGCCTGAATCATTAACCTACTCTTTTAAAAGCCCTTGTTTTGCAGGAGAGAGGGCATTTCAAGTGAGGGCAGAACTTCTTCTTGTTCAAAGTACCAATCCTATATTTTGCAATCCACTCGCGTTAATGGGTTGGTGTTAGAGTCTCTGAGAAAAGTACTTTTTTGAATGACCTCTTTAAACTTCACAGCACTTATGAGTAGCATCATTCTCTCTCTGGTGCTCTCTTAGGTACGCCGGTTTGTCAACGACGTGGTGCGAATCTACTCCATCTCGGTGAGTAATGCGATGGATGGGGTGTCTTCTGGGTGCCGGGCTTGTGCCCTCAGCACCCAACCCACCGGCTCTATGTGTGTGCCGTGCCCACCTGGACACTACATAGACGCACACACCAGCCAGTGCACAGAGTGCCCCCAAAACACTTACCTTGTCCCTCACGCCACGCCGGGCCCAGACGCCTGCAAACCCTGTGGTCCAGGCAGCAAGAGCGACAAGGTATCGAGCCGATCTTATCTGCAGTTTTCGTGGACGTTTTTGAAATAGATTTCTATGATACAAACCATAACCGTGTCTTTATGTTTTTTTTTTTTTTTTTACAGGACCACAGTTTATGTTACAGTGACTGTCACTTCACCCACGCAGAGGGCAATGTCACTCTGACTTATGACTTCAGCCTCCTCGGGTCTGTAGGATCACTGTTAAACGGCCCCAGCTTTACCTCCAAAGGAACCAAGTACTTCCACCACTTCAATATCAGCCTGTGTGGAGGAAAGGTGTGAAGAGTTGAAAACACACATTCATATGCAGAGAAAAAACAATCAAAAGTTTGTGTTTATGAATTCCCTTGCTTTTTGCTCTCTTTCTTTGTTTAAGGATCAGTTAGCAGTATGCACAGACAATGTAACAGACCTCTCCATCAACGACGCCCAGAGAGAGAAAGGCGAAGGAGCCAATGCTGTCAAGACCTTCATTTGTCAGTCAACAGTGATCCCTGCTACTGGACGAGGCTTCCACACAGCGCTCGCCTCACAGTCCATTAACCTGGCTGACACTTTCCTTGGTTAGTGAGCATAAGATGCGGAAACGGAGAGCTACCATGTTGGCCTTTCAAATGTCAAATTCATGTTGGAAGAGAAAATCGAAGACACATTAATTGCGCATGCACACATTCAATGAATACTTCTCTGTATTATTAACAGGAGCAACAGTTGACAGTACACTGGATGGAATAATGGCAGAGCTGTACCCCCAGACCTCCAAGAAAGTCCCTGATGTCAACTTCTACTATATGTAATTGATTGATTTCATCAGTTTTTTCTATGTGGTAAAGATGTAGAGCTCTAAGGTTCTGATGTGCTCTCTGTGTTATCCAATGCAAAGATCCCTGGAGGCGACCTCATCTTGTGAGTTAGGTCGGAGCACAGTGGTGACACTTCGCTGTAACCCAGAGAAGAGCACTAAAGGAGAGCTCTCAGTTCCCAGGTACTACATCTCTGTCCCTGCTTCTCCCACTCCCTGTCTGATATCTCATGAAACTCTCAGCTGTGATGTGCTGCAGAAGTGACGGCTTGTGTTTGGCTGTTACAGTCGGTGCCCTGCAGGAACCTGCGACGGCTGCACCTTTGACTTCTTATGGGAGAGCTCAGGAGCCTGTCCTACATGCACAGAGAGAGACTACCATCAGATAGAGGGAGCATGCAAGAGAGGAAAACAGGTGGGTGTGGACAGGTTGAAAAAGTGCTGTTGTGTTCCTTTCTAGTAAAGGATGTTGGAGTTCAAATACAAACAATGAACTGACTGCTTATTTCAAGAGTGTTTACGCCAACATCCTATTGGCTGTGTAGAATTTAGACTGTATTTTGAACCCCCAGCCAATACTGATAACAACACCCCTACCAAGTGCTCGAGTTAAGCCATTTGAAATCTCCTAATAGTTTCTGACTGCTGGTGAGCAAAATGTGTATGCTGCTCAGTAGTTTATTGGATTCATTATGTGTGCATGTTCATCCTCAGGACCTGCTGTATGTGTGGACTGAACCAAAGCTGTGCATCGGAGGTATGGCCTTGCCTGAAAAGAAAACGTTGCCCTGTGCTGGTATGGAGTTCTGGGTTCGGCTGGGTGGAGCGATTGGGGCTTTCACCGCAGTGCTGCTCGTCTCCCTCACCTGCTACTTCTGGAAGAAAAACAAAAGGTACAATTCCCTTTTTTTCTTCCTGCACACTTGTTTCCTCTCTCCATCCCCTTATTTCTTTATTTGCTTTATTTTTCTTTTCATATTGACCCACTTACTTTTCCCCCTCTTATTTCTTTTAAAACTCGTCGACCTTTTTTTACTCTATCCTCTTATTGTCTTTCTTTCCTCCCTACTCCATGCCACTTACTCTTTTCTGCCTTCATGCCTAGTTTATTAATGTCTTTTCTTTTTTTAATCTCTTCCCTTCTTTTCCCGCCTGCTTGATTTCTTTTTAACTTACTTTACTTCTTACTCTCCTCCGAACTCCTGTTTTTCGATACCTTTCCCTCTTGCCATTCTTTACCTGTCACATATCAGCTTTAGTCAGTATTCATACGGACACAAAGTTTTTTTCCCTCCACAGTATTTATATTATCAGTTGTTGCTCTGCTAGGTTGGCGTACAAGTACTCCCGGTTGGTGATGTCTGCCAACAAAGAGTGTGAGATGCCTGGAGCTGACAGCTGTGCTATGATGGAGGGAGAGAATGAGGGAGACATGGAGGATGAAGTTGTGTACACAAAACCATCACTACTTGGAAAACTGAAAGCCATAGCATCCAAGGTGAGTCACAGCATTATTGTTCTTTTACAGTAAGACACTACGCCTTAGTATGGTATTGAGAAATGATTCGGTTTGTTTTTTTGATTTCAGGGAAACGGAGAGAAGTATGAACATGTGCAGCTGAACTCATCTCAATCTAAAGCGTTGGTGTGGAGCTAGAAAGCTGGTGAGGGGAGGGGAGAGATTGGACCCTCAGGAGACTTTTCACGGAACAACCGCTTTAGCCAACCACCCCCTTTAGGAGCTTTGGTACCTGGATAATCAACTGTGTGTACATACATGCATATATATACACACGTCATGCACCGAGAGCCAGGTTCAGAGAAGGCAGAACAATTATGGTGGCCTTAAAGTTGGGTACGACAGAGCCGTCCACTGAAAGCAGAGTGTGGGGAGGCAGGTGTGTGAGATAGACCCTCTCTGGTTGTATTCTGATTCAAAGTGTGACAATGACTTAGAAGAGCTCAGGTCAAGAAAAGGACCTATTTGATTGATGTTCTGTTTTTCTAATTTCTACCATTCTGTGTCGTGTCTAATGTCTTTAGACAGCCATGTTGTAATTCACCATCAGAATTAGAATGGTGAGTGTTTTCATCTCACGTTGACGTTTACACAGATTGCTATATTCTGTCCAGTTTGAGGTTCTACCTTCTCATTGTTTGTTTTTTTTGCTTAGTTGATATTGTTGTAATGCAGAGACGCGCACTGCTGACATATTGAAAATGATGTCATATTATGCGGATGAAGTTGTGGTGGTGAGTGTGTATGTCGGTCAAATAAATTATTATGATGTATTTATGTATAAACAGAGACCGTTTGATTATTTTGGGAAATCCTGTGCAAGGCTTGGAGACAGATGAGTGGCATTGTGGGTGAGAAATAGATTTCAAGCAATGTAATGCCAAAAAAATAAAATCCTAGAGGACTAAGTGCCTTTTTTCTGGTCCAAAACATTAACTGACTGGTTTGTCCTTTTGATACATTTCACATAATTTCAAAATGTCCTCTTGATGGAAATTGCTCGCGTTCAGAACCAAAAATGATGTTTCCCTAACATCATAGATCATCCGGACAATGAGGGGTTTTCTAGGTTATTAAGTGTTTGATGTTCTTACAAATTATTTACAAATGTCTTAAGCAATGTGCTGTTTTTCTCATACACAGTTAGTTCTTGGATTAGTACTCCACAGCAGTAAATCGCTACTTTCACAATGTTCATTAAATGAGTTTTAATTGACATAATTTTCTGCATAACAAGTACTCTTAGTTTTGATACTTAAAAGACATTTTAATGACTACAATCCTGTACTTTTCCTCAAGTAGATCTTGAATGTAGGGCTGTTACTTGCGGTGATGTATTTGTACATGGTTATATTCAAGCAAGCCACTTCTAGCCAAGTTAACATGCATGGTGTCTAATGGAGTGGTGTGACATGTATACTTGATTAATAGCAATGCCATCTATGTGTAATAACCTGAACCCAACACCAGAGGGCAACCACTGCCTTGCTACAAGAGCAGAGGCAACATGTAGTTCTGCAAAAGTAGGAAGTGTACGCAGTATGGTAGAGCCAAGGGCAGGAATGACATGAGATCTAAAATATCTGCAGTATCTTCATGAGATCAATCAACAACCTGACAGCTAAGGACAGAAATCTACTGAGTTATTTCTTTGTTTATTTTTGTCTTTCAGTCTTTTTCGAGGAGTTCGATCCTACACACTGGGGTGCATTGTCCTAAGGCAGTGAGCACTCCAGTAGATGGTTAAATTGGAGTGCCATCACTTAGGGAACAGATTACGCATGAGTGTTAAAGACGTCTTTCAACGTTTGCCAACACGCTATGAATAGAGTGTGTGTGTGTGTGTGTGTGTGTGTGTGTGTGTGTGTGTGTGTGTGTGTGTGTGTGTGTGTGTGTGTGTGTGTGTGTGTGTGTGTGTGTGTGTGTGTGTGTGTGTGTGTGTGTGTGTGTGTGTGTGTGTGTGTGTGTGTGTGTGTGTGTCGTGGTGAGGGGCTGCTAATGGCGCCGTAGAGACACGTCTACACTTCTATTCAACGTTTAGATTTGAGCTGATATTAATAGACACAGACACACACTGAATGCTTTTCCTCAGCAGGACAGACATGGACACAGAAGAAAGAGCAGGCGACACCAGCTGTTTGCTTGTTTGTTATTATTGTTGATGTCATCACAGCCTCTTTATTGCACATATCATAAACACAAAACTATTGCTTTGTTTGACCAGTTCAGGATTCAGCTTGACCTCGGCTTCATTTCGCCGCAGATATCTTGCCCTGTTTCAAAGCCCGGAGGCCAAGGACACATTCTGTTGTAAAGCAGGGGGCTGCAGCACAGAGACCTTAGTAGAGCACATGGCAGTTGGCAGAGACTGAATAGAGAAACAATGTCCGTAGTGGAGGGCTGTCTCAATCAAAAGGATATTCATGCCCAATTAAAGAAGCTTCTACAGAGAGGTGGTGGGTATGAGACGAGTACAGTGGAGTGAGAAAGTTAATGTATTCCAAAGTGATGCATTTTCTTATATGATTCCCATTTGCTTTTCCACAGTCTCTAAAGCCTTTATCTACCTTCCCCTTATCCCTTTTCCCACCTCCTCAAGGCCGCCCTGTTGGCATGTGCTGCAGTGGGCACCCGGATCTGAGTGCTTCAGTTTAAATGAGGGCTACCAGTCTGTTGATCTGGCTTTAGGTGGTCTTGGCTGAGACCAAAGTGTCACAGAGTGGAGATGAGGCGGGGAAACAAGGTGGCGGGGAAAGGTTCAAGGGCTGAGGTGGCTCGAGAGAGAGAGGGTCAGTGGAAGAGTGTGAGACTGTTGTCTGAGACTAGTCCCCTGGACTAAATGAGAGGAGAATCCGGGTTAAGTGCTGTATTTGTGCTGCCATTAAAAGCTGGGAGTAGAGGACTGGGCCTTTCTGAGCCAAATCCCATCAGTCACTGCCAATTTGAATCAAAACCAGCAACCCATTTTTACTCTTTCTATTCCTCTTCTTTCGCCCTCTCCTCACCCCTCCTCCCACCCTCCTCTTCATGCAGACAAATAGACATTCCAGCAGCGGATGTGGCAGTGGTTGTCCATAGCAACCGGCAATGCGGGGTGTATCTTGTGGGAGCAGGACCACTGAGTGAATGGTTAAGCCTTCTGCTAACAAAGAATCTGAATCTGTGAGATGCTTTGAGCTTCCATAGAAGCGCTGTGACTTCTGGGCTGTGGGAGTGCTTTACATAATCCAGCAGCAGCTCCCCTCTGCTCTGCCACATCACACTCTCCTCCCGCTCTCTGCACCTCACACACACACGCCCCAATGTAGGTCGGCTCGTCTTGGCGCATCCTCTAAAATTCTTTCAATCTATCATTCGGTGTGATAATCACAGGGAGCCGTAGGAGAGCGGCGGTGTGAAGGTGTAGACCAGTCAACAGATGAATGTTCTGCCTGTACACACATTTCAACATGGAGAAACTACATTTCAAATGCCCCTCTGGGATGGAAACATTTTCTTTTAGACAGCATATTATAGTATTTATCCATTTAAAATCTGTTTATCAATAATTTACTAAATGCAATACATTCTTGCCCACCCTTTAAAATCAATTATGATGTAGTGCTAAATTATTCCACTAATTTAATCTACTTCATAATAACTTCATTCATGTTTTTGTCATTTTATAAGTGCCCATCAGAGTCTTTCATATTTCGAGCCACAGACAGAGTTTGATGGGATGTTTTGATAAGTGTTATGTATGTTGTGCATATGAGGTCTACCCTCACATCCTTTTGTTAGATGATTGGATCAGCCAGCAGCTGACATTGTGTGCTTTGTTTCCTCTCATGAGCCTCTCTGGGATTGCCGCAGCCAGCTGCTCCACTGTGCCTCTCAACGTCAACACATTTAACACAGAGATGTAAACTGCACACTTCAATAAGTCGACAAGTCAATGACTTCATCAAAATGGTATATGAGCTTTTCACTTCCCCTTTCTTCTTTTACTGGAGCCGCTAAACTTTGAAAAATGCTAAATCAGTGTGATGGGTGTCCATCAGAAATGTCCATTTGATGCTTTTTAATCACAGACTAGAGAAGAAGGGGGGTAGAGAAAGTCAATTCTTAGATTCACTGTTTTAACACTTCAGGTAAACAATCAATAGCGAAAGGCTCGCTAGGGAATAAACTAACTGGCATTGTTTTGGCCGAAACAGATAATATACTGGGGTCACTTTTACATTTACCAAACAATGATTTGCAGTTGGTAATGTAAAACTGATCACTTTTCAACCTCTACTTTGAACACTACCAAACATACATTAAGGCACATAGCCATATTTTAAACATCACCACAGACTGTATCTACAGGGCACGAAAACATAAGCTACCACTCCCCTGTAGTCGGAAAGATTCAACATGTGTTCGGCAAAGCAGACAGATTCCTCTCATTAGTGTTTGAATCATATGAGCACAAATTCATAATTACTGGGTAAGACACCAATTTGTGTTTGTTGGCAGAACTTTTGCAGCACTGTCTGTGTTGACAGTTTTGAGGCAAAATAAATGCATTTGATGTAACATTTGTTTGTAGCCTTGTTATGAGTTGCCATTAGCAATCCATTACAGCAGTCCTCTAAAGAAACAGGCAGTTTGAGAGTGGGAGTGCGAATACTGCACCCTTGGGGAACACATGTCTGGAACTATGGCCGTTTAGGTAAAGGGATTCTATGATTAGAAATAGAAAAATGAACATTTGTATCAAAAGCAAAACATATTTTTCCTGAAAAACAGCTACATTGTTTCTTTATACAGATCTAGGATGCAAAGAAAATCTATCAAGACGTGAACAGATGATTTATCAAACTGAAAATTGGGTTCTGGCCCAGTAAGTGTAAATTGATAGGTGGATCCTTTACCATCCAGCTTCTGCTTTTATCCACATTCATTTTAGGGGAACAAGACTGTCAACATTGTGCTGTTTGAACCATCAGTAGTATAATATACAAATGTACAGATACACAATAGAAATGCATACATTATTGGTTATTACAATGAGACCTACAAAAAAGCATGAGAATAAAAAGTCTGTGGGATATTGCAGGTGAGGCAAGCAGAGCCACACATGTGCATCCAGACTGAGGAACACACAACCCTCCTACCATGTTTAAGCGCATGTCTATTTACACGGCATCATAACAAAGCTATCAAAAACAAAGGCTCCAAAAATTCCTCCTAAAAACTTTTTTTGTTCTTTTGTTTCTCTACTTACAACAATGTTGATTTCATGTACATCCCTAGAAAATATTTTAATTATAGTTACACATTTTTCTACATTTTTGAAACAATACTGTTCTAGTCCACAAGGAAGGTTGTTTCTTTGTTTGTGTGTGTTTTTTGTGTGTACGTGTACATGTGTGAGTTTTGAGTGTATGTAGTGTGTGTGAATGGGGAGGGGAATGCCGGTCAAGGGGATCAATGTTCATGGATTGGCTAACAGTCGCAGGGGCTGATTTAGAGAGGATAGGATGTGGTCACAGAGAGGAAGTAGTGGAGTCGACAATCTCTCTCCCATTGCACACTGTTGGGACGGGGTGGGCGCTGACAGAAGCTAGAAAAAAGAGAAAGGACAAGGGTATCTCATTTTGCTGCCAAATGGTTGAAAAACGTTTTCTCAAAACCAACAACGCTGCATTATATAGTTGTCACATTATTCCATTACATTTGACCTGAAATCACTTTACATAAAGTTACAAATAATAAAAAAAATCTAAGAAGTAATGGATGTCTACAGTAGATGCCATGATATAAAGAGCTCAGAAAAAAACACAAATTATATCACTGGTGATGTAAATGCAGACTTAAGCTACTGGTAATAAATAAAACGTCACTGTCAATTTACAGGTCATTTGCAAAAAGTTGCACTCAGCCCTTTAAATACCTTTTTTCTGGAGCCAATTCAGTACCTTTCTTGGCATCTGCTTTTACTGGTCAACAATGCAACTCTGTCAGTAGGATGCATCTCAACTAGCATATCACTACAACTGTTAATCATACAATACTATAAAGGTCAGATCATATTTTAAGTTTCAGTGACCTTTTCTTGCTTGTGTCATCATAAACCACGTTTATAGATTATAATTACAGATGTAAAAGTGGAACATTGTGCTGAATATTGACTGCAACACACATTTGAAAGAGGCATATTAATGAAAGAGAGTGCTGCTCTAAACCCCTGCCTCTTTAAAAATGAGGTAACTGCAAGTAACCTACCATGAGATGCGTATGTGGTGGCAGCCCCACTGACACTGAAGCGATTGAGGTTAAGCCTGTGGCTGGTCACATTCTTCTGGGGCTGGAACATGATGATATGGACCTTGGGAGCAAACATGCAGCCCAGGACCACAAAGCCACTCAGGCTCACTGAGATACACATGGTAGTGGTCTGAACCTGTAGAGAAAAGGGCACGAGGCTGTAATTAGTAGCCAGACTTTGATGGATACATCTTATACTAATGCTGTTCAAAGTGCTGTTAGGAGCTAATTTGATGATAATAATCTATCATAAGAAATATTTTTCAAAGACCGTTTTCGAAAGACAAAGTGCTTAACACACAATAAATGCTGATAGATTCATTTTAAAGTATAGAAATGCCTAACATAGTGAACCAATCTCAATACATACACAGAGCCAATGAGGCTAGTAAAGGGAGGCTGGCTGTAACTATTTATTGGCAGACACTGTTACCCTTCAACTGCTACAGTAAGAGGATAACAATTACAGGATGGATCAATAAAAGACTTAATCAAAAGAGAACACAGAGGCCATACTAAACAGTATCTCAGTAGCTGTTACTTCCTTCTTTGTATGCTGTGTGTCTCTTTCAGGCTGCCATATGATCGCTTTGTCTAACTTTATGTGGCAGAAAAGGTTTTACAGAGTTGAATAACAGCAACAGAAGCACATTAATAATCAACCCTTCAACATCTCCTCTGTGTGTGTGTGTGTGTGTGTGTGTGTGTGTGTGTGTGTGTGTGTGTGTGTGTGTGTGTGTGTATGTATGTGTGAGTATAAGTGGATGGTTGTGTATGTTGGTGATGTTGTGCCTGTACCTGACTAATCTTAAAGTCAGATTACAAGGCCAAGGAGTGTTTATACCCAGAGAGAGAGCGAGAGCGAGAGAGAGAGAGAGAGAGAGAGAGAGAGAGAGAGAGAGAGAGAGAGAGAGCGAGAGAGAGAGAGAGAGAGAGAGAGAGAGAGAGAGCATGTCTCTCTGCCTCATTTATAGGGATCAAATGAGCGGCCTTGGCATCAGCAGTCCTCTCTTATGCCCTTCGATACAGTGCATAGTGTGAGTGTGATTGTGTTTGCGGAATGGTGTGTTTAGTGTGTGTGTGCGTGTGTGTGTGTGTGTGTGTGTGTGTGTGTGTGTGTGTGTGTGTGTGTGTGTGTGTGTGTGTGTGTATGCTCAAGATTTGTATGGATCAGGTGAATGCTCACTCCCCTTTGCTGTTAAACCTGGACATGTGTCAGCAGTTTGACAGAACTTGTCTGTTTGCCATGCCAATACTGCAGCGCTGGGACATTTGCCAGCAGTATTACAAATTGTTTAAGGTGCCACTACAGCTACTGTATGTTGTCACTGTCTTCATGTTGAGGGGACAAAATAATGCAGACATAATTAAGTTAAGGCAGATGTTATTTGCACCGGGGTGACTGAAGTGAAAAGTGCCATTTGCTCCCAGGTAACTATAGTGAACCATGCTATTTGCATTTGGGTATATATAGTCACATTGGCTATTTACACGCTGGTTGTATACTGTATAGCATGGCAGAGACACATGCACCCAAGTATACATAGTAAACAGTGCTATTTACACCCGGGCATAGATTTGAATATGTTTTTAATCTAAAGGTATTTTTATTAATGTCATTCGTCGTTGGTAACTAATTGTGAAGGTGGTTGTGAGGTTCTAGTTGTTAAAGGGACCCTGCTTGTGTGTTAGGAGTCAAACAATGTGTGTCCACCATTTTCAGTCTTTATACTAGGCTAATTGTTATCAATCCTCTCATCTAAATCTTGACAAGAAGGCACAATTGTTGACATGTTGATCTTTTCCTTTAAGATTATGGTTTTATTTAGTAATCTTGAGATTAGGAATGTAGCATACGTTTAGGGTCAATACATTAATGCAATGCAAAAAGACATAGACAAGTAATTGTGGGAAGATACCCTATAGTCGCTGGATGTAACATAGAAGATGGGAAGAAAAGCCAGCCATATTATACAGGTGGTGTACATGGTGAATCCAATGAACTTTGCCTCGTTGAAGTTCTCAGGGCACTTCCTGGTCTTGAAGGCATACCTAAAGAAAGGGAATCATATTTCTAATTAGATGGGCACTACCTAGAAAACAACTTACTTTAATCTAATCAACTGAAATGATTTTCACCATGAACAAAACATTTTAAGAATAACTGCTTTGTGATTTGTATTAAAGAGCCCAGTATACATATAATGTTGTAGTTTTAAATCAACAAAATGTAAAATGATTTTCCAGGTGTGCTTGAAAACATGGCACCAAGTGTACTGACAAAGTGCTCAGGATGGAGAACATAAAGCCCTTTAGTTGGATCCTTTCACACAACGAAGCTGGCATATTAAACCTGCTGACACACTTACACAGTACACAGGATGACCAGGAGCACATCGTATCCCAGTGACAGCAGCATGCTGGAGTCACGCATGTTACACTTGAGGATGACAGTCTGTCGTCGCTCCGGTAGCGTGAAGCGCCGTGTCCCGGGGACTTCCAGCAGCAGCCAAACTGACACCATCACTAACTGGACGGATATTAAACTTAGACAGATGAACACCTGAAAATAAGGGAGGAGAGGAAGGTAAGGTCATCAAGATCCAATGTTTGTCTGTCCATCCGTCTGACTGATGCAGATGGATGGATGCTATGCTGCAATCACTCACCTGAGAGGACGGGCTAATGAAGCGTGGTCTCACTGCCCCCGCTCCGTCTTTCACGCCGTTAAAAATCCTGGCTATTCTGTTGGTTTTGGTGAGGAGGGCAGAGTAGCAGACAGCGAACGACGTGCCCAGGCCGAGGCGCCGGAGGGCACAGATGGCAGGAGAAGGTTTGGCCAAGAAAAGGAATGTCATGGCGTAGGACATGAAGACTCCTGAGAGGAGGATGTAACACAGCTCTATGCCTGAAGCCTTCACTAGCGGTGTGTGATTGTGTCGGATGAACACCCAGAACACAAGACCGGTGCACAAGAACCTGTGGACAGAGGGGGAGTTATTCAGCCGAACAGCCAAGCAGTGTAATAAGGTCACAGTTTTTAATAAGTTGATAATACATGCCAGAAGACATGTACAAAGTATACACATTGTTATATATCCTCATTCATGAGATTATTCAATTTAAACTTTACAAGAGGATGATGACTAACTGATGTGCTTGGCAAACGTAATGTATAAACATCCCTAAATATTGTATAATGAACATCCCTAAATCTCGCACACACGTGCGCGCATGCACACACGTGCACACACACACACACACACACACACACACACACACACACAACACACACACACACACACACACACACACACACACACACACACACACACACACACACACACACACACACACACACACACACACACACACACACACACACACGGCTCTTTATCACCCACCCTACACAGGCGATGGTAATTGGACCAATGGCCCAGGCATCTTCCCACATGATGTAGTCCTCAGGCAGGTCGTAACAGGCCGTCAGGTCTTCAGTGGGCCACTGGCCAGGGGCACAGGGCGAGCAGGTGAATTCATCAGCCAGGTATTCATGATTCTCACAGGATGTGCAGATCCAGCAGCAGTACTCACCTGGGAAACAACCATATTAACAGCAGAATGAGACATCGCTGAGATTTTTCGAAAGCCACTGCTGCTGTTTGATTTCGGACAAAAAGAACATTGTTGAACTTCTGTCTCCTACCTGCCTGCATTTTCTTCATCTCATTGCGTTCACAGGGATCGCTGCACTGCGAGGTGGGCACCACTTCTCTTGGCCAGTGAATCAGATCGTTGCTCAAAGTCAGACTCTCTGCCCAGTCACCAACCGGCACGTAACCGTAACGATCGGCAGAGCGCTGGTAGCTGAAGATGTTGTATCGGCCCACGCCGTCCCCCTGGGAATCAAATTTCACTGCCGTTTCACTGCCTGGAGGAGAGAAAGGGGCTGCAGGGGGTGAGAGGATACAAAGAGTGGAAAAGAAAGTGATAAGAAGAGTGGGAAAAGGAGATTAAAGCTAAACAATTGCTTACAATCATCCCATTGACGTCCCATTGATGCATCTTAAAAGCAACAGTGAGGACAGAGACAATGGCTTTGGTCAGTTAAGCCTTAGGAATTCAGAACAGACAGTGAAGGGCATTACAATGGTGTTTTCATTACTGAAGACCAGCCAGTTACCATAGTATTTGCAAAGAGGCTATAAATGCCTGGTATGCTTGGTGATGTCGCTGTGTATCAATGGCCCCCCATCACTCCCTGAGGTCACATAGGGCCAAGAACACTACTCAAAAATCCGATCTCACAATGTTTATGACCAAATACATCATTAATAAACTGCCTATAAAGTCAGAACAATTTCCCCACGGGGATTAATAAAGTATATCAAAATCAAAGATAGGCATGAAGGCAGAAGACTGAATCCCTGGTCAGTGCTATGGCTACCCACACATTGATAGAATTAGCCTCTGGGTCTATTATGTGAGGGAGGTACACTGCTGAAACTGCCAAATTGGTTTGTATACAAGTTTTTATGAAAGGATTACCATCTACCCTGAGGATGTGGGAATAGAAGAGATTGTAAAATTGGCAGGATGCTGAAACCATTAAAAAACAAAACAAAAAACAAGGAGGAAAGCGGGCATGGACTGGTTGAAAAAAAGAACTTCTTGATGTGCTGCAGGCAGTGTTGGACCAGACAGTGCTGACATTTGGTCTTTCTGACACAGACAAGTGTATGTCACTCCTACAGTGCCACTTCTGGCTTTACAGCGGAGCAATCAACTCCATGCTGCTGACACACTGTACAGCGCTGGGTGTTATACGCTGCTGCCTTCCCTGTCAAATGATGATGTGGCTGGGGATAGTGCATCGTACACTGGGTTTATAAAGCATCACTCTTCGACGTATAACAAGGCTCTCGGTCTTCACTGCACAGCAGCATTGATGATACTGTGCTGCCTTCCTCATATCTCTGTGTCACTGGGTAACTGAAGAAATCACTAGCCAAGCGAACAGCCTGGGATCAGTGGAATGAATCAAAATACAGATTGGGTTTGTGTGTGTGAGGATGTACGCGCACACACGCCTGTGGAAGCTCCATTTGGTTTTACTTTACAGTGTGATGGTTTAAGGTATTGCTCTGAGCGCTGTGGGAGGCTGTGCTGACAGTACCAAATATCTGACCCCACTGTTAATAGTGTATGTGTGTGTGTGCATGTGCGTGTGCGTGCCTGCATGCAACCCTGACAAGGGCTAAAGCTGTGCTATTGTTGTGAAAGCTCAGTGTGTTCAGAGAAGAATGGCTTGTCAGATGGCAGCAGAGGGGGTTAGGGTTTATGAAATCCATAAATCACAGAGACAGCACAACCCTCTATCTTCTCCTCTCTCTCTGTCACCGGAAATTCTATGTGTCAAGTCTTCTTTGGATTTGGGGGCTAAATGTTTAGGTGATAGCTAAATGAAAAGGATTTCAATAAGATGGTGATAATATCTTCAGACGAAGAAGAGATATGAATCCATTATTTTGCAAGTTGGCAGATAATAAAGTCTGCTAATAACACTGAGCAATAAGACAAGCAGAGCCCTCCTCCTCCTAGACACCAATACACACTCACATAAATACTTTGCCACAAGCTAATCATCATAACGGTACCTTATTAGGACCTTAGATGTGTGCTGAAGCCTAATTAGCTGTATGTGGTAATTACGTGTAATACAGACTAAAGAGATAACGGCATTAGCCTACAGACCCATTTGATGGCGCCGTGTTGTCCTTGAATTCACTCTAACAGATCACATTCAGGGAGCAATAGACTCAGAAGACGGGTTATTCCTCCTTATAACCACACCAGCGACCTTGCTGACGTGACAGAGCAGCTTATCAGGAAAAGTGTATGAGGGTGCAAGTTAGAAAAGGCGAAGGCCACCCAGACTCCTCTGGTGACTGCAAGGCAGCCCAGGTCCTTTTTGGATGGAGACTTCTCTCTCCCCTCGGCACCGTCCTGCCAACATTTATGTGATGAGAGAGTTTCTGCGGCTGAAGAGTCTACAGCCATGCAGCAATGCACGGCTTTACTTGAGCATGCTAACTCGTTAGGACAATTCCAAAATGTTAAAGTTTACCACGTATACTGTTTCATATTTGCTAACATGTTGCCAACATTTGCTTAAGGAACTAAACATAGAGTGCAACTGCGGCTGATGGGAGCAACAATAGTTTTGCAGGTATTTGTCAAAAAAAACTTGAGTCATTAAGAAAGAAGGCTCTCTTTGACTAAAGCAATTGTCGGGCGACACATAATACGATTTTGTCTACTAATCCATCAGTGGATTTGTGGGTAAACTGAGTTTTGCCCACAAAGAATCCTGAAAAAGCACCACTTTAAATAATTTGTTAACCAGAAATGTGATCATACGTTTTTTGGGAAAAAAGTCATTCAGCAAGAAAAAAGCTTTATACACCATCTTGGAAGATAGCAGATCACTGAAGGTGCAGGCCTTATTCTATGGCTGAGCAAAACCATTTTTAACAGGATAAGTGAAGAATTTGACCTAGTTGTGGCGCTACAGGAAAAGCCAAAGAATCAAACAAATTAAACAGGATTCAATCAATGTGATCCATAATGTCTGAATTAAATCACATGACAGTCCATTCAGTAGATATTTTGGTTTGAACATGAGTGTTGGACCAACAGATTGACATTGCCATGGATACAGCCATACCACTGGCATGACTAAAAAGCATTTTAATTTGCTCAGATGCACAATGGACGGTGGGTAGAGCGGCTGAAAGGAAGTTTGTCCCTCAGCTACATTTCTGCAGCGTATTCCTGTCTGATGTAACTTTGATGAATCGTGAACTAAACACATTTCATCATTTAAAGAATTGAAGGTGGTGACTGCTTCCTAATAGCAGCTTGTGGGCTTTCTTGTGGTGTGTTAACTCATACTGTAACACACTTCAGCCCTGAAACAGTGCTGATTGATGATTCTGTCTGACCTCATCCATACTGGCCCAGTCCAGTCCAGCTGAGACCCACAGCAGCCCCCCCCCTTAGTAGTACTTGATTTAAGTGACTTTACATGCCTGCAATGTGTCACCAGCATCCGACGTTGGAGCATTCTTTCTCAGTGACGTTATCCCTAAATCACTCACCTTGTGTAGGTTCAATGGATGCACATTACCATGGAGCTTTCAGATAAACAAAACAAAGGGCCCATTTGTTCAGACCAATTGACGAGTTTGTTGTTTATCTAAGAGGATTCATTGCATTGTCAAGCAAAATATACTCTTAGTTTTTGTGGATGCCATTAAATAAAGAGCTAGGGCCACAGAATGTAAAGCAACAAATTAAAAGTTAGGCAAGACAAACTGTGGTTATAACGCAGCCTTATCAGATCCCATTTTTGTCAGACATGTTATAGCAATCCCACTAACTCGAGAAACACCTTATTCTTCTAGCTTGATTAGAAGCATGGTGAAAACAGGCTTTTCATTCAGAAGCTGTGAAATTAATTATGTTCTCGGCCATGTCGGGCTAAAGCGAAGCCCAAGGGGGATTGTGGGTAAAGGCAGGGAGAGAGAGGCAAAGGGGCTTGAGGGGAATAAGTAGGAATAAGTAATCTGAACGTGGAGAGAGAGAGGGCACATCTTTTCTTTGTGTGACTACAAATTCAAACGCTCGCTGTTGATTAGTTATCAGCTAGGGAATAGATAATTGTATTTCTAAGCACCAATTCAGCTGATTCCCTGATTGAATCCTGATTGAAGCTTGACAAAGTAAACACTACATATAGGTGCCTGCTCAAATTCAGACCTGTTTAAGGTAAAATATATATATACTTTACTCTGCATGCTAATGGTGTGATCAACCTTTCTTGTCCCTCTTTTTCTTTCCTTAGAGGGTTGATGACCTTACACATCTGTGCCCCACAGAGACACAGACACACATCCCTGAGCATATACAGATATGGACACAGGGATGCACTCACATGTCACAAACTCACACACACGGACAGATCACATTAGCTATATTTGTTCTCCCTGCAGATTTAGTCACCAGGGAAGGAGGCGCTGCCTTGGCCACGGACCATCAGGCCTCAGGGGAACAGAGGAAAGAACCAAAGAAGTCCAGAACAAGAGTACGAAATGTATAGGAGGAAAGGTGCAGCAGCAGAGAGCTACAGCTTGACTGAAAGAAAGGTGATGAGACAAAAGAAAGAAGCGGTAGGCTAAAAGCAGGAGGTGCTGGGAGGGAGGATGAGCCGAGAGACAAGATAACGGCAAAGAAAGGAGGGAAGTGACAAGGGAGAAGAGGGAGAATAATACAAGAGAGGAGATAGCAAGAGAGAAAAGCAAAAACTGGTGTGATGGCAGCATAGATATAGGTGGACGGAGGAAAGCCTTTAGATGAAGGAATCAATTGAAAAAAGGTGAAGGATGGATGAAGGGATGAGCAAAGTGCAGGAGTGGAAAAACAGATCGGCAGGGAGAGGCGGTGGAGGCAGGATAGTAAACCTTGTGAAGTCTGAGTGGGATGTTCTGTTTTTGAATGTAGAAAAGAGTAGGGCACTTTCTGGGTGAGAAAGAGAATGTAGACAGAGAGAGAAAGAGATATATAGAGAGATTGATAGAGTGGTGAAGAGTGAGAGAAAAAAGAGACGGAAAGAGAGCGCCAGAGGCAGAGAGTGCGGAGAGAAAATGAGGGAGAGAAGGAGTGAAGGTTGTTCTCTAGCATCTAAACGTTGCAGTAAGCTTGCTGCTCAATATGGCCCTGAAGGCACACCGCCTCTGCTAACACAGACATATCGCACGCACACACACGCACGCACACGCACGCACGCACGCACACGTACACACACACACACACACACACACACACACACAGCACACACACACACACACACACACACACACACACACACACACACACACACACACACACACACACACACACACACACACACACACACACACACACACACACACACACACACACAGACACACATGCACAGAGAAGAGGGAATATCACATCCAACACCACTATTTGAACAGAAGACTGCGTGCATGTGTATATACTGATATGTTTGCTGCAGATAGGGGAGTTGGGTGGGTGGGAGTTGAATGATGGCTTTGAGAAGTGCGTGGGTTGGGGGTGTCTGCAATTTCATGCTGGTAAAGAAACAAGCATTTCAAGCTGCCTCTTTGTAAATAAAAAAGCTGACTCTATGCGTCTCTTGCGTGTACGTATGTGTGTTTTGTGTTGGATGTGTGTAGGGAGGCCTCGTAAAAATGCACCAATGTGCCCCTGTGTCTATTACTAGATGGTAGGGAGCAGTTCCCATGATCTACCAGATCCCTTCAACAATTGGCAATAGTGTCGGTTTCATTACCATAGCAACTAGCAAGACGAGACTGGATGAAGAGAGCGGCATATGAAAACACATTCCTAGCCACACAACATACGCCGTCGGTAACACGCAACTAAAACAGGTTTAAAACACAGTCCGGTGTGTTATGATTGTAGAATTATTGACAGGGGAAAGTGATTCAGTGTATTGGGAAGCATTAAGATTTAAGATGGATCAAACTTTGATGCAATGTGGAAAGTGTATAATGAACATGCACGTGTGTGTGAGAGAAGGAGATGGAAAAGAGATCCAGAGCACTGCACAGTGTTGGTTTTCTGTCTATAGTTCAGACTGAGAGCACTGCGGATGGTGATACTGCAGTATTTATACCCACATTCAACCTTAACTCACCTCAGCTCCTTTACTTACATACTGTAGATGGAAAGATGTATATGTACAGCAGTGTGAGTGCGTCATTCGGGGGCTAAACGAATAACTCAGAGCGAATGCTGCCACTGTTCCCAGTTTAACCGTACCGCCATCTTCAACACCCTCACCCTCTCACCAACGCAGATTCTTTGAATGCATGTTTTTTAAACGACAAATCTGTTTGCCATGCTGTCACCGTTGACACTGACACTGAGCTGTAAAGAAATCATGCTGTTTCTTTCTTTGCAGAAAAAAAGACATGCACCTTCTGGACCTAATCACTAGTGAATAAAAGGAAGGGGGGAGTGGGAAAGGGGGGTGTAAGGGAGACAGATGATCAGCTAGCGGGGATTCACACCTCGTCTTCAACTCCACATCGTCTTAAACTTTCCATGTGTGAATTTCCACCCCTCTCTTATGCATTCTATAAGGGAGTGGTTATCATCTGTGCCTACCGGAGGCTGCGACTGCAATCGTCTTGACTATTTCCTCTCTATCTCCCTCCTTTCCTTACTCATGCCCTTTCTCTCTCTTTCCTTCTTTCTGTGTCCCTCCTCTAATGCAGAAATGCTCCAAGTCCTTTGATTTGTAGCAGAAATGAAAATGTGGAGTTTCAAAGAGAATCTTCTCTCCTTCTGCTGACGCACCCTGTCCCACTCCGGCATTGCCTCAGTTCTCCCTTCCCTCCTTCCTTGCTTATCTTACTCCCTTTTACCTTACCCCAAACTCTCTTTTCTCATTTGACTCTGCCTGTCAGTCTTATCTGTCCCCCCTCCCTCCATATGTGATACCATTCTTTCGTCTTCCACCCATCCCTTCTGCTCTCTCCCTAGCTTCTAGTGGCAAAGCTGCCGTGTTAGCGCTGTGTGTTAGGCTGTTTTGATGTCTGCTGGTCACGGTTGGTGGAGGAATAAGTACCTCTAAACCTGTGTCAGTCCCCGAGACACAGCAGTTTATTTATAACGCATCCTTTGTACACCAACTGTCACTCAAGCCAATCCTCTGTCTCTACTCTCCCAACTCTACTGAGACTGACAGACAGACTATAAGGGCTATTATAACACACACAATCTCATTAGTTCAAGAGAGAAGAATATGGCTGACGGATTAACTGCAGCTCTCATTCCTCAAAGCAACTTTGTAGTGTCGTATCAATTACGCATGGGTAATGGGTGTCAATGGCATGGCTGGCTCTGACAATACTTAGCAATTAAGCGGATTTGTCTCAGTACTGTTTATGTTCTGGGGTTTGCTGCTTTGGCTGAGGACAACATACTTGTGTTGTTCATGAGAGGACTTTTAACTAGGCACAGCTCTCACATTCCTGTCTGTTTCTTGCTATCTTCCCATTCCCTCCCCAGCATCCTCTCAAACATCCACTTCTTTTCACTCTCCGTCTACCTTGAACACCTTATCTGTGACTCTCTTGGCCATTCTCCAGCCCTCTTACCTGTGAAGCTGACATTCAAGATGTAATCCCTGTAGAGTCTGCGCCCATCAAGTGCCTTCATGCTGTCACACAGCTCGTTGGTGTTCGAGCAGAGGCTCCGTTGCATTTGATGGAGGGCATGAGCCATGGCGTAAACAGCGTTCACAACAAACATGATCTTGGACTCTGGCTCAAAGTTACTCTTGTCCATTGACAAGTCCATGTCGCACGGAGGAAGAGGTGTCCCTCCCAGTCCAACACTTCCCCCTCCTCCTGCTGCTCCACCACCCAAGGAGCACTGGAACCGCTGCTCCCAGAATTCCCTGTACCAGGGATTACGAAGGTTTTTGACAGGGTCCAGGCTGAGAAAGTAGCGGTTGAATTCTGGCAAGGGATTGGCTGCCAGTTCAAGTGTGATGGCTCCTTCAGCAGTGACCTCATTTCCCTTGACAATGCTTTCCTGGGCACCCCAGCCATCGCTGGCCACCCAGATGAAGGAGGTGTTGAGCCTGGCAGCCGCTGCCAGCAGCTCTCTGGCATCGTCACTGCGCAGGAAGAGGACGGCAACACGGGCGTTTGGCTTCTGGAGGAGCTGTCGGATCACAGCTTCATAGGACTTCTTGGCGTTAGAACGCCCCACCTGGACAGACATCGGACATTCGTTTGCAGACATTGTTATGTAAATACTCATTTTACTCCTAAATAAGATTAGAAGTCATATCTTAATTGTGATTTTTTTAATCAATATTATACATAGGAAGAAACAAGCAAAAAAAAGTCTGTACTTCCTTCTTTCTTAAACCATAATGCACCGCTGTAGCAAATGAGATGAAAAATGTGACTGTGAATGTAGCCAGAATGAGTTCGTAGAGATAAGCTTTCATTTTCTGGTTCACAACTGATAACACCAGTGTAATATAAACTCCATTTGTGTGTAAGACAAGATAAGGCAAGGAGAGAAACTTTTATAAGCTCACACATTTAGTACCCCATTCATTGTTGTGCAGCTTCAGGCCATACATCAGTGTGACACTGCTGATTAAAGTTTGGGGTTTTTGGTATCTCTCTTTGAGCAATGGTTTCGTATATCAATGCAAACATAAACTCATACTCCATCACATGCCTTACCTTCTCTGAAGTGGCGATACAAATGTTCCTCATGCGTGCCTCTTGTTCAAAGGCCTCTATGCCAGTTTCACCGTAATCACCCTCGGATGCCACAGTGGACACGTACGTCCAGTTGAAGAAGCGAAGGATCTCGGCCATGGCTTTGGCCTGGTAGAAGTCGGGGGGCACCGTGCGGGCAAAGTAATCGTAGCGAGTCTTATCACTGAGCTTGGCACTGGTCGAAGCATAGCTTATCTGAGGAATCTGAAACAGCCTGAGGAGATTGGCAACCTGTGGGGACAGACAGTAAAATGAAAAATAAGTTGGCGGATCTACAGTAATTCCAACTACTAACTTTAGTAAAACGAATACACTTTGTATTTATTGATGGGTACCTCTTTTTCAGTTCTCCAACACATGGAGATATGAATTAAAAAGTAATATTTTTCTAATGATTTTGTTTCATAATAAGCACTAAATGATCAGTCTGAGAGACCATGAACATTGTCTGCACAACCACTCAAAGGATAATTCCCAAAATATTATCTAAATTAATCTTTTTGATTTCATATTGCTTAAATTCGATTATATTTGAATTGACTGATTGTTTTTGATAACAACCTTTGGTTTTGAACACTAATTTGATATGCAACGCGACTCAAATCTGAATCAAATCTGAATCTTATTGTATTTGCTCCCATTAACCTCTGATTAAGTTATGCAAAGTAACATAAAAAGTATTTTGCTGCAGTGTGGAACTGTGTTAAACTCAAGGCTGAATGCATTCAAGCAGCCACTTGTTGTTTACAATGCAAATGTTTTCAGAGATGGCAGCAAGAGAGCCAATTACTCTTGAAAAAAGCATTAGAGAGCGAGAAACTTGAGGATAGGCAGACAAAAGCATCTCAATAACAAATACACGTGTCAGTTATATGGGAAGAGAAACTTCTTAGTGAAAAAAAAGAACACTGAAATTTGTATTTTAAATGTGTCTTTTACTATTATTGACACAACGTTTTCCTCCCACGTTTTTACATTTTTAGTGAGCTTCTTTCTCTAATATTGTCCCCTGGGGTAAATTAAGACCCCAAAATAAATAGTCAGTGTCTCTGTAA